CCACCACGCCCAACAGGGGTTGTAAGATTTTTGACACAAGGGGCTGGGGATTTAGCTCAGCGGCAAAAGCGTCTGCCTGGCAAGCACGAGGTCATGAGTTCGGTTCTGGTACTGGAGAAAAACCAAAAAAAAAAAAAAGATTTTTGACACATTCTGCAAAACTGTTTAAAATAAACCTTGTTTGTACCCTGGATACACCAAACAAATGCACTCTCCCAGCAGATGTTGCAGTCCTTGCAGTGATAATAGCCATGTTTCTGCTGGAAACGCAAGTGCTTCCTGCTTGGCTTGGCACCCGACGACAACTTTTCCTGCACAGTGGCGGTTGTGTCTCCGCCATGTCCAGCCCACCCTGCCGCCAGGAGCCGCCCCGGCTTCTGCAGCGCAGACGTTGGGGCTGCCTCGTCAGTTTGAGCCTCCTGCTGCTCCTGCCCGGCCCTTGGCGGTGGGGGCGCCTTCCTTGCTGCCCCCTCAGTTCTCCTCTGGTGCCACAGGGCCCTGCGTGTTCGCTGGGGCCTCCTCCAGGCAGCCGGTGAGGCAGTGGGAATGCATGACCGCACGCAGTGAAGGAGCGCAGGAAGCGCGAGGGGGCGGCTGGGACTCCTGGATCCCGGTCCCTGCGCAGCGAGCCTGCGCTGTACCGAGCCTGCGCTGTACCAACGCGGCGCATCGCTGGTTCACTTGCACTCCCACACGTGGCAGTGGTCTGCAGGGACCCGGCCTGAAGCCTGAGCTCATGCGCGACAGGAGCCAGGTGGAGAAGAACCAGGCAGGAGGGTGTTCCCTACCGCAGAGCTGCCAACCATTGGTGCCCTTGGCGTCTGGCGCGGAGGGGAAGAGATAGGGTATGCACGCTGGGTACCTGAATGCGCCCAGCACCTCGTCCCACATTGCAGCCATCTGGCGGCCCCCATTATTTGATGGGGCTGAGGGAATCTACAGTGGGGGTTTCCCAGAAAAAGCCGACTTTTCCCAGCAGTTCTAGATCGACACTGATTATCCAGTGATACCCCCGCTGACACTTAGTACAAGGACTGCAAGGTTTGGTTACAGATAATGGCTGTGCTTCCCTTATACATGTAGCAGAGCAATTCCAGACAAGGTGCCCCTTATTTTCACAAGGAAAACAAATGGCCTTGTTTTCACCCTTTCCTCCAGGCAGTGGATGAATAACCGGAGTAATTAAAGCTGCTGCCAAAGTAGCCCCCTGTACATTTAAGTGGTCAGTATCTGCACATATCCAAATTGTTCTGGACTCGAAACCAGAAACGAACCAAATGGTACCGACAAACACCCAAGACGCACGGACCGCCAACTGGAGTTTAGGATGAGCCTTTATTCCTGGCCAGGGACTGACTGAGAGCCTCCCCGCAGGGAAGGATCAGACCAGTGCCAATCCAGGGATGAGAGCAGTTTTTATACCCTAAAACCGCACCGTTTGGTAAACACATGTCACATCTGTAACAATGAGGGGACTTAGGAACAGTAAGTCCGAGAATCCGGGAGGGGTAGAACAATTTAGGGGAAGAACAGTTCATTTAGGGGAGGAACAATTTAAGGAAGAACAATACATTTTGGGAGTCCAGGAAGGGCAGGGCGTTTACAACCAGTTTATAACCACACATTCCAGAAATGGTAAACATGAAGATCTAACCCCACTGCAGGGGTGGGAACTGGGGATTAAACTAGAACCTTTGATGTGTGAGGTGGGGCTTTTACACAAATCACCTCCAGCAGTGTGGCCTGCCTTTATGGGCTCTTAAAGCCTCTTTATACCATTTATTTGCATTTTCAAAGGCTAGATGCTGAACTATTAGTTTTCTAGCTTTGGTGTTATTTATAATCCTCTCACTAGCCTGCAATAAGCATGCCACGAAATTTTGAAAAGGTTCCTCAAGGCCCTGATGAATAGAAGCCAAACTGAGGGCTGCCTCTCCCTTAGAAGGAAGTTCCCTCCCAGCCCTCATGGCAGCCATTTTGCTTTGTTCATTCGCTGGCAGTTCAAAGGTCAGTTCATTGTGGTAGGAAAGGCACCTTCCCAATTAGCATATCTTTCATAATGGCTGTGTGTTGTGAATAGCATTACAAGCGGCCTGATCAGTGCAATACTCAAGAAAGTTTCCTTTCCACATTCATCTCCTGGATTTAAACATGCTTTAGCTATTCCTTTCTAATCATTTGGGGCGTAATCTGTTGTCCTAGAATTTCCACTAAACTCAAGGTAAAGGGAGCAGTAGGACCATAAGTAGCAACAGCTTGTTTTAATTCTTTTAAGGTTTTAAAAGGTATGGCTTTGGGGCTGGGGATTTAGCTTAGCAGCACAGCGCCTGCCTGGCAAGCGCAAGGTCATGAGTTCAATTCCCTGTATTGGAAAAAAACCTAAATAAATAAATAAATAAAATAAAAGGTATGGCTTCATAACAACATATAACTTATCCCGGATTTTCAGGGACTTGAACTTCAGTAACAGGGTAGATATGTTGAAAACCCTGCGTGGGCTCCCCTGCCCTGCTGGCTTCTTTTAATGCTTAACTGCAAAGGAAACAGAGAAAGTGGCTCTACTCTCTGAGAGGCAGAAGTTCCAACCTGTGATGCAGCAAAATTTCTCTGAGCTGAAAAGGCCGGAATAGCCGCCTGTGGCTCAGCCACTCCCATCGAGTGTTGTGAGATAGAGTTCACCAGGAAACACCTCTCCGGTTGGTAAAAGTCCCTTTTGTCCCTTACCACTCCTTCCTTCTTAAATTGGAGCTTGCTAGAGCGCTCAGGCTGTATCGGCAGAGCCGCTGCTCTGCTCTCCATGGCCTGCTTAGGCTCCAGACTTGATCTTAACATAATGTTTTGAGTAAAATCCCTCATGGTTAGAAAACCCCTCCAAACCAACATCTAGAAAATTAAATATAGGAGTCAAACATGCAACGAATATTTCTGTGAGCATACACACACCCCTGGGAGTCTTGAGCCTGTACTTACACTTTAATATCTCCTTCTCTTTTGGCTTTTTTGAAGCCTGCATATCTTTTAGCCCTAGAGAAGATGTATCCCCACGCCTTACACTCGACGTGCCAGTACCATGCACTCCAGTGCTGAATACTAGCTCTCACAAATGCGCTACCCCGCTTCTGTTGCGAGCTCTTGGGAAGCGTACACACTGCCTGCTTATCTTCTCTCACCCGGTGTCCGCTTCGGGCGCCAAATGTAGGGAACCTCGTTGGTCTCTTTTGTACCCTGGAGAGAAATAGCAGTGGGTATGAGAAAAATAAAGACAAGAGACAAGAGCTGGGTCAGGTGGAGTTACCTCTTACCTGATGGGAAGAGGACTGACTTCAACAGTAGGGGTGTTTATCTTATACTCTTGCAAAGTTAGTATCGGGAGAGGTCATGTTGCCTAGCGACTAACAACTGTAATTGTCCAGGCAGGATGCTTTCTTCAATGCTGAGGTAGCTTGACGGCTTGAGGCACTCACTGTGGCTCTGCCCTGCCCTCACACATATGACTAATATCCAGCTCCAGCAGCTCCCAACAGAAAGGAAGAGTGGGAGAAAGAAAATGGCAAGAGAAAATATTTTCTAATAAGGTCAAAAACAAAATTTTTTTAAACTGCATACCAGCCAGGCATGGTGGTGCAAACCAGTGATCCCAACATTCTGGGAAGCTGAGGCAGGAAGGCTACAAGTTTGAGCCCAACCTGGGAAACTTAATGACTGAGGCCCTGTCTCAAGTAAGTTAAGTAAGTAAATAAATAAATAAATAAGTGAATGAATGAATGAATGGGTGGATGGATGGGTGGATGGATGGATGAGGATGTATCTAAGTTCAAAGGCTCTGGATTCAGTCCCAGTACCACCCAAAACAAAACAAAAACACTGCATACAGATCTAGTAAGACAGGAACCACTGCTTCTCCCAAAGGACACAGCTGGAAGAAGATACAGTAGCTGAGGCAAAACCAGTAGGGGAAGGAGGAGCCTTGTGGGATGAGGAGCTCACAGTGCAGGTGCTCAGCTGTCTGCCGCAACCGAGGCCGCAGCCTTCTCATGTACACCCTGCCTGTGAGCCTGCTTGGCCCCAGCGCCCCTTCTGTGGCTGCCTGCTCACTGTCTAGACTTCTTCTATCACTGTTTCCAGTAGGACAGAAATTCCAAGGATACTGGCAAATACCGTAGCAATATGAGGGCTGTTTTTTTGAGGAACTCTTCTAATAATATGCAGAGGTACCACTGCATGCTGTAGACTGCTAAAGTCCCATCTTTAAATATTACATAGCTCAAAATAAATAAAATAAATATTATATAGATACTTTTTTAAAAAAGGAAACTGATAGAAGCCAGGTATAATGAGTTGTGCCTGTAATCCCAGCACTTTGGAGGCTGAAACAGGAGGATCCCTACAACTTTGAGGCCAGCCTAGGCTACACGGTAAATTCAAAGACAGCCAGGAGGGGCTGGGAATTTAGCTCAGTGGCACAGCACCTGCCCAGTAAGTGCAAGGTTGTGAATTCGATTCCCGCTACCGGAAAAAAAGGAAAAAAAAAAAAAGACAGCTGGGATTACACAGTGAGACCCTGTCTCAAATATATATATATATATATACACACACACATGCAAATATATATATATGTCATCTTTAAAAATACAATTCAGTGCCATTGATCATGTTCACAATGTCATAGAACCGTTACTATTTCCAAAACATTTCTATTATCCCAAACAAAAAACCTGACTATTAAGCACTACTTCCCCAAACCCCTGAGTTCTGCTGCTTTCTGTTTGTATTCATTTACTATCAGGCAATCTTAATTAACCATAGGAACCTTCCAAGCAATAGAAAAGAATGAAACCTGAGGTGAAAGGGATGACGGGGGAGTTAAGGATAAAAACCAAATTCTCATTTTCTTCCACGGGACCTAAACACAGCTGGAAGCTTCTGGCCAAGCCGTCTACACCCACAGAATCAGAACGGAAGCCCCGTGTGGTGCTAACTGAGTATCTCTCCTCTTGCAGTGACCATGCAGCAGGTGGCCAGGACCGTGGCTAAAGTGGAGCTGTCCGACCACGTGTGTGATGTGGTGTTTGCGCTCTTTGACTGTGACGGTGAGTGGGCTCTGGAGTGAGGGGCCCTGCGCCTTGCCGCCTTTCTAGACTTCGTGACCAGTGCCGGTACTCGGGGCCCACGCTGCTCAGTGGCTCGCAAGACTGAGAGCTAGAACCTCTGGCCCTGGTTTTCGGTTTGCATTTTTTGGTGTACGTGGGGTTTTGTTCGTTGTATTGTATTTTGCAGTGCTGGGGATTGAACCCAGGGCCTCACGCTTGCTAGGCAAGCGCTATACTCTTGGAATTCCAGTTTGCCTATAGGCCTAAATTAATCTATGACCAAAAGGATCTTAAACGGGGCACATTTTCAAGACTGCTTGGATGTGTGTTTTCCCCAATTGCAACCTAATGGCCCCAAATGTACTTTTCTTAGAAAAAAACAGAAACAAAAATATTACACGTAACTTGCTACTTAGTAGATAAGGAGCACTCGAATATTTTAATGTCTCCAGAAGGTAAATAGTACAGCTGTGTCTCTAGGATACAGTATACGCCAGGCCCCTGCCAGCTGCAGAGCAGATAGGAAGATGTCACCCAGCCAGCGCCGTGCAGGCGCAGGGCAGGGCAGGTCTCCCGGAAGCGTCTCCAGAGCTGAACTCAGAGGTGGGCAAGACCCGGCCAGGCCGAGGGCCAGTGAGCGGGAGGAAGCGTTGGGGTGGGGACCCAGACCGGGGACCTTGGGTTCCCTGGCCCTCCCCACCTCCATGTCCAGCAGGACTGACACTAGTCCTTAGCAGCCATGCCGCTGGCCATGCCACTGGCCCTGTGCCCCCAAGCGTCCTCTGCTGGGCCCGTCCAGCCCTTTCCTGCACTGTGGGCGGAATCCGTCTCCCATCTCTCCTACACTCTGGGATATTTCAAGAGACAAAACACAAAGCCTGTTCACTTCTTTATTCTCAACACCAGCCGCGGCCTATAGAAACTCTCATTCAGCTGTTGTCACGCCTCAGGGAACCCTCAGCTGCCGGTGGAGGCCTCCAGGGAAGAGCGAACCAGCTCCTCCTCAGCTCGGCCCAGAGGGCCCAGAATGGCTGCACAGCGCTGGGCTTGGGAGCCACGTGGCCTGGGCAGCGGCATCTTCTCGCGGGCTGTGCCCGAAGCCCCCACTTACCCTGCCGTGCTTGTCTCTCCTCTAGGCAACGGGGAGCTGAGCAATAAGGAGTTTGTGTCCATCATGAAGCAGCGGCTGATGAGAGGCCTGGAGAAGCCCAAGGACATGGGCTTCACGCGCCTCATGCAGGCCATGTGGAAGTGCGCGCAGGAAACCGCCTGGGACTTCGCTTTGCCCAAATAGTAACCCAAGACTGCGGAGGGGCGCCTGCCCACCCCAGCACGCGGGAGCCCCGGGCGCACGGCCCCAGCGTAGCCCGCGTGCTGCTGCCTCCGACAGTTGTGCCCCTTCCCTCGAGCGCAGCCTCGGCTTCCTCAGCCCCTGTGCCTGCGCTCCGCTGGGCTCGGGTCCCCAGCGACCACGCCCGCAGGCTCCCGAAAATGCGGACTCAGACCGTGGCTCCAGCATCAGCCCTAGCCGCGCAGGCGCCCTGTGGGTAAAGAACGCAAGGAACCCTGCCCACACCTGCCTCCAGCCAGACCTACCTAAGCAGAGCGTCCCTTCTCCCGCGGGCGTTTCTAAGCTGCAGGTTGGGAACAGTCTGGCGGGCAAGTGTGATGGATGGGATGGTGAGGGCCTGGGCGCCCTGAGCTGGCAGGAAGCCCGGGCCAGAGGAAGGCGCTGTCAGACGCAGTATTCCAGCCCCGCTGCAGATTCCGAATTCCTAGCAGCTGCTTCGCGGCCCTCCCCACGCCTTCTTTCCTCCAGGGCTCCCCAGGAGTCTGCTTAATGAGCGGCCAGTCGAGCTCCTTTCTCCTGCGAGCGCCATCTCCCCTCCAGCGCGGGCTCCTGGCCTGTCTGCCCTCTGCCTCGAACACTCATAAAATAACACTTTAATGGTTTGCAATAAAGACCCCCGAAGGCTCCCGTCTGCTCTGTTTTAGGGTCCTCCGAGCCCGTTCCCTTTTACATATCCACAGCTTCAGGTCCCGCTAGCGGCAGACCCGTTTTGTTCTTCCGAGTCTGGGCCTTTCTGATCAGAGGCAGTTGAGGCATTTGGATTTGGGGATTCGGGGGCTGGCTAGGGTGTCGCCGGGCGGTGGGGACAGGAGGACCCATCTGGTGGGGCGAAGCTGGGATGAAGAGGCGCGGCAGCCAGTGCTGTGTGATGGACCCAGCCCCGCTGCTCCCTCGCCGGGGAAGAGGTTGCGCTAAGTGGGCTCCGAGGTTCCTCCCAGGCTGAAAGCCGCGGCCTCAGCTCCCCAGGGTCCTTGCGGCCTGCAGAGCCTCCAGGCAGTGCTCCCCGGCACCACCCAGCTGCATGGCGACACCCGGAACCCGTGCTTCGGCCAGAGACAGCAGAGGTTTCCTGCTGCCCTGCGGTACCAGGCCCAGCATTTCCGCCAGAGCAGTGCAGCAGCCTCGTCCCCAGCGTGCTTGCAGGCGATGCGGTTCCGTCCGAGGAGTTTGCCAGTCCCCTGCCGCCTCTGTCTTGCGGGCTCCCTTTTGGGCTGTTCCTGGTGTCCAGGTGTAGCTTTGCACTGCTGGTGGCCCTAAACCTAGACAATACGAGCGCTTCGTAACTTAGGGGAGGGGCAGGGGGATTGAAACGGGGGCTCGCCGTGAGGTCCAGACTGGGCTCACGTTGCAACAATCCCGCTGTCTCAGCCCCTGGAGTGCTGGGATTGCAGGTGTGCGCCCCCGTGCCTGGTACAGTTCTTAAATTCGCCGGTTTGCAGCCTCTGCGGGACACTGATCTACAGGAGGCCTGGGCGGCGGCGGCCGGGGTGCGCGCGCTGAGCCGCTGGAGGGCGCCCATCTCACCTGGAGCAACGCGACCCCCGGGCCAGGTGCGCCCTGGGGCGCTCCGGAGAGGCGACAGCCACACGCTGGCACGGGCGTGTGCAGTGAGAGGCGCAGGCTGAGCCACCTGGAGGCGGAGGCCGCCCAGGAGCCCGGGGTGGCCGGGGGCCGGGAGCGCGAACAGGAAGGTCCTGAGAGCGGCGTCTGGCGGACACGGAAGGCTGATCGGTGCTCGTGTGTCAAATTCAGATAGAATAACCCGCCCCTCCGCGGGGCTCGGCTCCCACTCTGCCCTCCTGAAGAAGCCCCCCCTTGGTGCCGTGTCATTTTTGTGAGCTTGTCACCCACCAAGTTCAGGCCCAAATAATTCCCGGACAAGGTGAGTGACACCGGCTGTGCCTGGGTAAATCCCTCCCGCGCACCCCAGCCGCGCTCTGCGTGTCTTGCAGCTACTTTAAAAACGAACAGCTCTTCTTCCTGCACCCCGTCGGTGGCGTCGGACGGGAAGGCGAGACAGGACCCCGGCTGCCGGGCCTCGACTGTGGGCTCAGAAGCATCCCAGACAAGCAGGACCAACGTGAGATTGCTACTGAGGAAAAGGGGGCGTGAGGGTGTGCGTGCTTTTGAAAAATCTTTATTTTAAAAGCTTTTAGTCCCCGGGTTGGAACATGAGCTCTGGAACCACATGGGACCTGAGGCAGAAGGAGAGGCCCAGCAATGGCTGCTACCCGGCGGAGAGGGAGGCAGCGCGGAGCCCGCTCAAAGCGGGAGGCTGGGGTCTGGTTGAGTTTGTGGGCCGCGAGTGCCACCTGCTGGCAAAAAGGCTTAGTGCAGGGGCTCACAGGACTGGAGCGGTTGAGTCCGGCGGGCCGGAGCCCCAGCCCCACCCCTGAGACGGGACCTGGGTGCGGACCATCCCTGAGCAAGGCAGGAGCCGCGGAGAGAGTGACTAAAATTGAGAGGAGGCAAAGAACCAGAATCGTGTGCTGGCCTCTGGCCCAGGATGGGACTTCACCGGCAAATGAGAGGGAGGAATTCACTCTCCTCTACCGCTTCTGGACCAACGGCCTGCTAGAGCCAGGCCCTGAGCCGGGTGCAAGGAGTCTGCACTCCCAGGAGGGAAAGAGAAGAAGAGGCGAGGCTACGCACAGGCTACCACAGGAGCACTTAGAGAAGGTTTCTCTTGTATGAGAAACCCATGCATAAATAAAGAGCAAATAAAAGATAGATAAAAAGAAAGAGTGAGAGCTTTTGCAAATGAGAAGGGGACCGGGAGATGGAGGGGAGAGCAGAGAGGGGAGGTGGAGAACTGAGCTGTGTTCTGCACACACGCACCAGACCCCACCAGGGCTGCGCCCGCGCTCCCGCCTGCGCTCATAAACCGCGCACAGCCAAAGAGCCATCTGCACCCCAGCTTAGCAGCTCGGACGAGGTTGCTGACGACGTTTTTTGGTTTGTTTTTTGTCATTCTGTTACCGTTTTTAAACACAGTCATACACTGGTACTTGACTGCTTTGAAACCGCTAATCGATGCATCTTGACATGAACATGTTGTCCCAGGACTCACTCGAGGCACAAGCTACAATTTGTGGATATTGATTGCCTCCCTGTTCAGCCAGGTCTGTTCCCTACTTGTTCCTGGCACCCGTCGTGCCTTCCGGACCGCATTACCCATGAGTGCCAAGTGCCACTGTAGATCCAGAGTTGGGTGGGAATTGCAGGGCTGGGAAGGTAGCCGGGTTCGGGATGCACTCCTGGACTGTCAGCCCTTGGGGGAAAGGAGGGTAACAAGCGCAAGCCCAACTGGGCCCCTGAGCCGGACCCTGTCTCGAACAATTACACAGGGGGCTTGAGGATGTGAGTCAGTGGCCAGGTGTCCTGGGGTTCAATTCCCAGTACCACTAGGCAGGAGGCTGGGAGGCAGGAGTATCAGGCAAAGGCTGACTGCAGAGACTGAGGCCAGAGAAGCACATTTCACCCTGGGGACAAGCTCTAGGCAACACCCAGTACAGACAGGAAGAGGTTTTGTGACCCAAGAATTAAGACAGCGGCCATTCACAGAAAGGATTTTTAAAATGCCCTTGGTGCTGGGCATGGTGGTGCACACCTGTAATCCCAGCACTCCGGAGGCTGAGGCAGGAGGGTCACTGCAAGTTCGAGGCCAACCTGGGCTACAAAATGAGTTCAAGGCCAGCCTGAACTGCATAGTGAGACCCTGTCTCAAAAGACAATAAATAAATAAATAATATAATGTATTTATATTAGTATAATTAGTATATTGTAATATTTTGTATAATTTTGAGCATATACACATATACATAACTCCTAGAAAGAATCATGCAAATTTGTTTGTTTGTCTTTTTGAGACAGGGTCTTGCTATGCAGTTCAGGCTGGCCTTGAGTTCACTTTGTAGCCCTGGCTAGTCTCGAACTCGCACTGATCCTCCTGCCTCAGCCTCCTGAGTGCTGGGGTTACAGGTATGCACCACCATGCCCGCAATCATGCGAATTTGAAGGCTAGAATTACAGCTCAAATTTGAGGGCTGGAAGTGCTGTGTGTGTGAGGACTTGGGTTCACTCCCCAGCACTGCCCCCACAACTGAAGACACCCAGAACTGAATATAACAACGGAAACACTGCACAGTAACCCCTGCGGGAGAAGCGCTGGTGTAGCTTGGTGGGAGAACACTTTCCTAACACGCCCAGGCCCTGGGTCCAATCCGCAGCCGCAAGAGCAAAGCAAAGACAACTTGTGGGAAGGGCTGGGACATAGTTCAGTGTCGGGGCAGCTGCTCAGCATATGTGAGACCGAGTTCAGTCCCCGGAACCAAAACACAAAAACAAAACTACTCCTGGGACACAACTGAAGAAAAAATGTATAAAGCTGTCAACTCATTTACAGAAGATAGGCTGATGATAAGCCACACATCTGCCTCAAGAAGTTGGGGAAAATAAAACCCAAAGACAATGACAGAGCCAAATATGTAATACTAGGAAGTGTGTGTACATGCACATGTGTGTGTATTGGGGACTGAACCCAGGGCCTTACAAAACCTACTACAAAGCCATACCCACATCCCAATATTTGGATTTTTTTTACACTAGAGTTGAACCTAAGGCCTTCATCCTGAGCTACATTCTCAGACATTCTTTGAAAACTTCAAACTGGACTGTGATCAAACTTACTACCCTCCTGCCTCAGCCACCCGAGCCACTGGAATTATAGGCATGCGTCACCATGCCCAGCAGGAATTTTTAAATGTGTACTGCAGCAGCTTAAAAATGTAGTAAAGGGGCTGGGGATTTAGCTCAGCGGCACAACACCTGCCTGGCAAGTGCAAGGTTGTGAGTTTGATTCCCGGTACTGGAAATAAACAAACAAAAGTAATAATTAATATTGCAAAGAACTTTATGGCAATATGTTTGAACTGGAGCCAGTCATGATGGCACACACCTGTAATCCCAACCCTTGGGAGGCTGAGGCAGAAGGATCATAGCAAGTTCAAGGACAGCTTGGGCTACAGAATGAGTTCAAGGGCAGCCTGAAGCAATTATATATTGAGGCCCTGTCTCAAAAAAAATTTTTTTCTGAACTGGATGGTTTCCTAGAAAATATCAACATTAAAAGAAAGTCTGAAGCCAGGCATTGTAGTGCATGCCTATAATACCAGCACCCAGGAGGCTGAGGTAGGAAGACTGCTACAAGTTCAAGGCCATCTTGGACTACAAAGTGAGCTCAAGGCCAGCCTGAACTGCATAGCCTACATAGCAA